TAGAGTTGATTTTAAGTTTAGCGATGCACTAATCACAAGGATCCAATATGTACATTTAAGAATTAAAAGTCCAAGTCATTCAAAATCTGTAGATAAAATCAAAACATTGATTCAGATTCTGTAGAAGCTCTATCATTGTAAGTTTAGAAACTGTACTATAGATAAAAATATTTTATAGCACACTTGTCATGTTATCTATCATTAGTTCTTGTTTTAGTTGAAAGTGGAATTCATTCTCACCATGCCATGTTTGTATTATTTCTATCTGCAATCTTCTAGGTCAAAAATGAAAATAGAAACTTAAGAAGCAAAAACACGATTAGGTTTGAAGATGGAGTCAATGCACACCATTATGTAGTTGCATGGTAACCTTTCAACCTATGACCCAATGTCAAATTATCCGCAAGATACGAATTCAGGGTCATCTGATTTCTGAAAGCAAATCTTTTCAATCAGCGCGTTCTATATTCTTAAAAAAATAAAGTTTCTGAAATGTTCGAATTACCCCAAGCAATTATTTATTATATCCAGAATATTACAGGGATCTTAGTAGTAAGTATGAACTCCTGTAACTAAATATATGAAAATTGTGGCTAGTTTATAGACAAGTATTTAATTCAGTTTATCTGATTAATCCCAGGCCTCCAGTTCAGTTGTTCTTCCATATCTGCCTTTGGAATTTGGAGAGGTTCTGTTTCCAAGAAGCTGTTTAAAGGGATTTAGAAGTTGTCTGAAGAGGTCTTCCATTTCATTAGTACGATGCCTATTAAGTACTGCATAACATTATATCTGAATACATCCACCTTTCTGTTTATGTAAACTTATTGGCATATTGTAGACCAAGTCATATGAAAGTAGTATATATAATACATATACTATTTTCATATGACTTGGACTAATAGAAAAACATATTCTTGCTTTAAAAAGTGTTGACTTAGTCTAATTTATAATTATCAGAAGGTCTTTGATAATAAGCATGAACTTTGATAATAAGCATGGTCTTTGATAGTAAGCATGAACATTTTGTATCAGCATCCTCCCCATGAAAACATCTTCGTCTGTATTTCCTTATGTGCAAGTTTCAGATCAAGGAGAGCTTGAAACTTTTCTACAGTAATGTAATACAATGAGGTTTCTTGTAACAACAAACTCCCTAACAGGACGATCCCTTAAAAGTGACTATTGTTTCTTAGAATATAAATAAACAGCGTATTAATTTTGATCTCCTCTAAGACGACTAATTCCAGAGAAGTCCAAAATCTGTAAATTTTATGAATAACATTTTCATGGATCATACTTCTTGAATAAACATTTCATTCATGGATCGTACCTCTTGAATAAACATTTCTGAATACATTGCTATTTAACTGAAATATATAATGGGCTTTTCCATTTCATCTTTAATCTTTTTTAGATTTATTAAATATTGGCAAAGCATATTAGGACTATCTACTCAAGGGAAGGAAGGACTCTGTCAGGAACACTAATTCTTATTAAAGTTATAACGTTACACATAGGAAAGATCATGAAACTTGTATTCAAAAGTACAATAATATATGTGATTAAAAATGCATGCATTATTTTCAAGACTTTTTCTACCGTTCAATATTATTAGACTCTTTTGCGACTAAGAAGGAAAAAAAAAAAAAAAAAAGAAGCACATCGTTACAACACCTGCTTAGAACTTCGAACAATGTTCATACAGCTGCGTAGTTTATTGTTTAAGAAGGATTATGATATATCTAGAATCTGCAATGTGCAGCTTTTTAATTTGAAAAAAAAAAAAAAATATTAAGCACTGTAAGTGCAGAACAGCAATAAAAAGAGAAAGCATAACATTCTGAACATAGCAACAGTTTTTCTTTAAATTTTCTTTCTACAGAGAATGCAGAAAAATTTTCAAAATCATTTCCTGAAAGAAAAGCCTTCAAGATTCCTTTCAGTAAAGAATTTAGTACAGAATGTATGAAAATGATCTAAGGGTTTGAATGTTTTCCGAGCTTAAAACTGCGGTTTTATTTTGTTAAAAATCAACTATAAAAAATCTGATGTGTGCACCACATGACTACTTTGTACCAGAATATTAAATTATACGCATTTTTCCTGCATTTCATTTAAACCTATTTCCTCCAATTTCATCAAAGATATATTTCTTATTCAATAAATTCAGTTCTCACTTCGCGGCAACTCAAAAATACATTGAAACCTCAGAATATCTTTATTAAAAATTGAAAAATATACAAAAATATAAAACACTAACTACGTTTAAAACAATTACAAAAATTTAACAATTAAAATTACAGTTTGTACGCACAAACAAGCAATTCGGGAAGCGGGCAAGGAAGAAAGATTTTTCGGTGCACAAAACTGAAAGCTTACTTTTGGTCCCATTGAACAAAACTACGCAAAAGGTGCAGAAATAGATTTAATTCACTAATTTTGCTAAGTTTCAAATGTAAACAAATATGGCTGCTATGGCAAAAAAATTAGGCTTAATCGCACTTAAACCACTTTTAAATTGTTGATAATTCCACAACTATTGCATGCAGATTAACTAAAGGCTTAAAAACCTTAACCGGACGATAAGAAAAAATTAATTCAATCATTTTTAAAGCAAAAAAATGCACAATTTACCTACATATAAGAATGAAAAAAACTAAGTTACTCGCGTAGCCGAGTAACAGAGTGAATAAAAGCGAAGGTGTCGGGGGACATTTACTCAAGTGTTTTATAAATGTTACTACATAAATTGTTTTTCACTCAAAATTTGTACTAGCGAAAATGCTTAATTCAGAATTTCTTTGGTACTCTACTTTGGTTCTAAATCCCATCACTTCACGGAACTATTTGGCCTAACCTCATTTGCCAGTTTGGCATAACCATTCTTACTTAAGTAAAAGACGAAACACCTTCGTATTTATTAATTATTGTTCATTGAACGGGAATTGGTTTGTTCCCCTTGAAAAGTCAACTAATTTCCGATCAATAGCGATAATTACTTGCTTTTAATTTCATTTCTTTTTCAAAGTTTGTAATTTTGTTATTCATGATTTAATTCAAGTCCCCGTAAAACATTTTTAATAATTTACATTCAAGTTACTTTAAAACACAATTTTCGGAATTAAACTTCCTACATATGGGTTCACTCTTTTTTGATACTTCTACTAAATTTATATTAGGAGATAATATAATCAACATTTCTTTAGTCAATAAATTATTATTATCTTACTTTGCAGCTATTGCGCAAGTATTAGAAAAACATGTTTTCGAACTAATTGAATTTAAGATTATACATATATATATATATATATACTTTTGGGGGTCTAGCCAATTGGCACCAAAAAGGGAGATGCACATACATGATACAGCACATACATATACATGATACAGCACCTACATATACATGATACAGCACATACATATACATGATACAGCACATACATATACATGATACAGCAGTCCTATATACAAAATTTCAACTTTCTGATGCTACTCAGAAAGTTAAAATTTAGGCTACTCAGAAAGTTGTAAGGATTATGTTTTTGAGTTATGCGAGATGCATGCATACGTACGTACGTACAGACGTCACGAAAAAATCTCATCTGAATCCATTTTAAATCAATTTTGTAATTCGTTTGGAGGAAAAGAGTCCTTTATTCTGTCCTTACGTACAGATGTCACACAAAAACATCGTTAAATTGCATTCGATAGCGGTCAAAATCTATATTTTCGTTGAAATATGATATCCCCAAATTTTCGCGATTACTATACTTCCTTTACTTCGTACAAGGAAGTAAAAATTTAACACAGAGTAAATTATTATTTTAAGAATTAATCAATAAGTCTTGCAAGGTCCGAACGATGAAAGTGTTAAAGTTCATCATGAGAAATTTAGTTTTGGCTTTAAGGTATTTTATAGTTCCTTCGTGGTGTAACTGGAAGCATACTCGATGGGTAATCGGGAGGTCTGGAAGTTCGAATCAAGGAAGGGCATTGCACTTTTTTCAAGTTTCCAGCATCAAAGAATCTAATGATTCTATACGGGGGTTTTGTTGTTGTTTTTGCCAGAAAATGAATTGTTTAATCTAATGAAGAATATTTCTACACCCTGACGATTGCTTTATAAATCTGCTATTGATTGTTGTAAATCTGCTGTGAAAAAGGATGCTTACCATTGATATCTATAAATTGAAATAATGCTTGTAAGGATTATGTTAATTTTATTAACAGTTCAATTTTGAGTTAAAGTTCCTTTCCTGTCGATTCCTAACTTCAACTTACTACTTCCGGCCAGAACGTAGTTTTAGAATCACGGCTGAATACATAATGAGGAAGAGTGGTATTTAACCGCGAAGTTCTTCAATCGTAGAGGAGAGTTACCAAGTTTCTGTCTGCACTCGTCCGCCTTTTTAGGCTACTCTCTCGTAAGCTATTATTACGCTCGGCCGTACTTTAGGCTCTTGATAGCTTCTCAGTCTATTAATGTTAAGGGAAAAACTCGGTTAGAACCTTGATAGATTCGGTTATATCTTTTTAGTTTAGATTAGCTTAGCATTATTCTTAGTCTCTTAAGTTCAAAGCCCAAGTGTCGGCTTTACTGTACACTCCAAGACGGAGTTTGTTAAACTTTAGTTGGAATAATAAAGGGCTAGTTTATCCTTCTATCTTGCTGTTTTTGTCGCACGAACTCAAGCGATTATTCGCTTATCAGTTCTTAAGATTCTTCACGATCAACAGTAACTCAGCATTACACTGTGAGGAAGCCTACATGCTAATAAAGTTAATTTTAGTAATACTAAGTCATGCCTGACTCAGATATTACATTTGAATCTATTTTCTACAGTTTAGCAATAGATTTCATAAAAAATTTATTTTTACCAAGATATAAATAAATTTTAATTATATATATGTTTTTGTTAATTGGGGTGGTGTCTTTTACTTTTATATTAAATATCAAAATTTATTAAACGATGTTGATTACTGGTCTTCTTTCTTTATAGGTCTATTTACTAGGCGAAAATCACTGCTGTTAAACAAGTCACAACCTCTTTCAGAACCAGAAGTTGATACGCATACTTGCTTCCGTTTATGTCTCGAAAACTCATCAAAACCTGTGCAGCATTTTAAAAGGTTTCCCAACAAAGCATACCAGATATGTCTTGTAATCTCAGTATATTAACAACGACTGCTTTTCTGATTCTTGTTTACTTATTAGCAGTTAATGGAGAGAACATCAGGTCAGTTGCGAACACGAAGAATTCAAGAGATTCGTTTACGACACAGACATTTTTAAATCTCGCTGGTTATAGACAAAACGTCAAGAAGAGAATTCGCAGGACACCACCTCCCGTTTTCGGGCAGAGTTTGATCCTTCAAGGCTTATCCAGCCCATTTTGCAGTCTTTTTGGAAGCACGGGTTGCACACCTTATCCAACTGCCTCTACTCGCTGTGCAGCAGGTTACAGATATGATCCCACCACGCAACGTTGCAGACAGTTACATGGAAAAAAATGAGCTGACATTTTATGCAAACTTTTTTAACAACGCAAATATAAACAGGAACTGAAAACGTTTCTGATGAAATCTAACAAATGCAAAAGTAACGTTTTGAACTGTTGATGCTTTAAAACGAAAAAGAAGTGTTTCATAAGCAATGCTTGGATCGCCTTAATTTCATGACCAACAACGTCTAAAAATAACTTACTTATAATGCTTGAGATTATTATATAAGATGTATTATTTCAAGATTTCTTCATGAATTATTATGTTCCTAGTCTCGTAGCTATGCCAAATGGACTGCGTCTAAAACTAAATATTTTATAAGAGGAGAGAATAAGTAGAGTACTATTCATAAAGCCGTTATTTTTTTGTTTCTTGCAAAAGAATGCAAAATCGTTTGAGAAAATACTAGGAAAATTCTTATGATAAACATCTTCCTCGGTAGGTCAGGATCTAATGATATCCACTCATTAAATTGATAATCTGTTCTAGTCATTATCTTCATCATGATTAATAATTTAGAAGCGAATGATCCAAAAAATTTCGTAAAAAACAGAAAAAAAAAGAATAGAAGAAACCAGCAATATTTTTAAAGTAAAATATTAGAGACTAGTGATTTGAGAAAGATTAATAAGTTTTTAATGTTATCAGATTTTATAAATTTTTTATACATATTTAGTAAAATTAGAAAATTAAGAGCCACTCAATTATAATTTCTTGAACGATGGTGCTAATATCAAACAGCTGGAAGAAATATTTAGAGGCAGCTATAATCCACGAAACTGACAACGTGGCAATGCAAATTAAAGATTAACAACTGGAGAAAGAATGAGAAATGAAATTCTTAGTTCTCTATTTATTTATTTATTAGTTATTTATTTATTTGTTAATAACTGTACTATTATTTCTTGTTCCAAAGATGAAAGTAAACTCTTTAACATTCCCACGGATTGAAACTCTTTCAGTTATTATTTATGCATAAAAATAGATTAGTATAAATTTATTTCAATAAATAAAACCATTCGAAGCAATTTTGTCAACTGAATGTCTCCAGATCAATGGAATTAATTAGAATATAATAAAGGGGGGGGGAACTACGAAAACTAACTGAATCTTTAATAGTTTAAAAGAAAGTTTTATTTGAAAATATTTCGGTAGATTGTTTTTGATGAATTTTTTCTGTTTTTTCGGACACAAAATCTGAAATTTAAAAGCATTGTAGTATTTCCGGATTCCTAGAGAAAATACTAGTTTTATCGACAATGGACTGAAATGTATTTTTCTAGAATGTCTTGGATAATAAAAGAGCCATAGCAGTAACATTAAGCAGTAAAATTTTAAAAACCAGTAAATTACAATAAAAAAAATCTGAAAGGTTTCAGATTTTAAATTACGTTCAAAGGGGCGTTTTTGCACTTAAACCATAAAATTCAGTTCAATAGCAATGTAGCAAAATAATTTTAAAATGAGCCTGTCTTTAGAATTTCCGATACACAGTTCCGCGCGCTAGAGATAAAAAGGTTTCCTCCCCCCAATAGAGTGTTGCCATAGCTCGCTTTGAAATCCTTGAGTTTGTTAATCAAAAATTCTTTAAAGTTTTACAAAATATGAAATCGATAATAAAACAAATTCCAAATTTCAAATTTGTTCTTTCACATGCCCATATTCGCAGTAGGATTACGTCATTCAAAATTCGATGGCTCTATCTACCGTTGTTTTATCACAGTGCGAGAAATATACATACATTTATGCAGATTTTTCATTATTTAATTTCTTCAAATATAATGCAGGACTGTAACATTTGGTGGCAACAGTTTGAAAAGTGAAACGGACATTTATAGTGATTCAATGCAAAATCGCAAAACGAAAACAATAGCCCTTCAAGGACAAAGCCCCTTTGGACTAAAAAAGGCATATGTAGGTTATTGTAATCACAAGTTTTTAACAGTTTTATTTATAAACTCTATCACCGTTGATTAAATATAGATTATGCGGAATGTAATAATTGAACTTAAATTAAAATAACTTCACATTTTATCATATACTATATCCTATTACGATATGCATTATTAATAGTTTATAGAATTGCGTATTAAATGCATCCCATTATTATTTCGATTTCATTATCATTAATCGGGCATTTCGAGACATTTTCAAAAGGCCGGACACTCGTAAGCGAGAATTATAATGGAAATGAATGGTCATTAATCATCTCATCATCCAGAGCGTTGTCCAAACGTGCCAATGAAAACTATATTACTTTCGCACCTCCATTTAATGGTTATAAAACTGAAATTTGTTATTTAATTTTTCTCAGTTATTTTGTGTAATATGAAACTAAAACCCTGATATGTATATAGATGTATATGGTTTTAAAATATTGAAAGAGCATTTAAACATGCTTCAGTGTTTTGCTGCTAATTTAAATAGACAGCTCATTATTTATCGATAACTGAATGCGTAATTTTACGGAAATTATTTATTTATTTATTTATTTATTTATTTTTAGCGCAAAAGACAAGGTTATTAATTTTGTTTTGGCATCGTGCGTCAATTCACTTTTCAAACTGTTGCCACCAAATATTACCTAAATGTAATCAATTCCTGGAAGCTCTTTATAAATTTATTTTGAATTCCATCAACGGGATCCAACAGGCTGAAAAGCACCTAACCCAGTGGGCCAGCTGTTCTGTCGATGGCGAAAAGAAAGAAAGCCCTGTATTATATTTAAAGAAATTAAATAATGAAGAATGTGCATAAATGTTTCTCGCATTGTGATAAAACAACGGTACCTAGAGGCATCAAATTTTGAACAACGTAATCCTCCTCTGAATATCGGCATCTGGAAGCCCGAATTTGGAATTTGTTTTATTATCGATTTCATATTTTGTAAAGCATTTATGAGTTTTTGATTAAGAAACTCAACGATTTCAAAGCGAGCAATGGCAACAGCGTAGGAAGGAAAAAAAAAAAAAAAACATTTTTATCTCAGCGGGACGAGATTGTGTATAGGACATTCTAAAGATATGCTCATTTTAAAATTATTTTGCGATATTGCTGTTGAATTGAATTTTATGGTTTAAGTGCGAAGAACATGATATTTAATAAATAAAGGTAACACAGAAAACGTTAAAAAAACGGCCCTTTGGTTGTAATGTAAAATCTAAAAGCTTTCGGATTATTATTATTATTATTATTATTATCTCTTTCTTTTTTCTTTCCTTGCTGCTAGCAAGAATTCCATGAACAAACAAAGTTGCAAATATAAAAAATTTTATTCATTTTGTAATTTATTTAATGCTTATTAAATGATAAGCAGAATAAAATTACGATTTATTTTCAAAGACAAGGCCATAAAATGCAAAATTTAAGATGTATTCTTCTCTTTAATAAATTAAAATTTCAAAACAATACAAATGCAGAACGAATAATTCTTAATAATCACTAAAAGCAAAGAAATTTGATGACCGCCATGTGTGGCTGAAAGGCTTCCTGCCGGTATAGTGCTGGCGCCATCTACCGCTTGAGTTTGAAGGTTCAGACAAGCACGCACCATCAATCCTAGTATTTATATTTCTTAACTTATTTATTTTATTTAGAACTGGTAAATCTTACTATTATTTTAATGTTATAATAATAGAATTTAGAACTACAAATTTAGAACTGGTAATATCTTACTATTATTTTAATGTTATAATAATAAGATTAGTATGTTTTTTTATTTAAAGTGAAATTCTTAATCCAAAATTTTGTAACGAAATTGGCCTTAAATTCGCTACAATGGTAAAAAATCTCACATCTAGTGACGCACGATAGAATAATTCACTCTGTGAAAAAAAAGGGGGGGAAGAACTTGTTTTTTGATATTTAGTTGATACGATTACTTGCTCTAATGATCTGAACTTTAGAGAGCCTCATTAAAATCAAAAGCAGCTAATACAACATGTTCAAGCAAATCACGGTATAATACAAACGTAACTGAGATCGCGAAACTTTTACATTAACAGCGAATAATCTTGAAATTCAAGAATAATCTTGAAATGTGTCTCGACAAAGTCATGCAAATAACAAAAACAATGCATCATTGGTTGGGAATTCATGAGTAAATCTTTAAAAATAATTTAGGGGTAAAAATAATGGATTTTGAAACTCCAGCTGCATTTCGCAATATTTATAGCTCCGTTCTCAATTACATCAATCTGGCCTAGAAACTTGCTAAAAGTAAACAATAAGATTCGCAGTATGTTTAGTAAAATTAAATGGATTTTTACAGGTGTTACCTACTTGAAGAAAAATAGCTAACGCCCTACGAGCGGTCTCTGCCTATGCATAGCTTTCGAAAGCGCATATTGGATTTTCGAGGCGTTATTCATACATTTAAACTCACTATAACTTTGTAATAAAGAGACACTTTATTGAAATAAACTTCGTATTGCACATCAGTCTTTCAAGTTATACGTGGCGAAGCTACAAGCTGGGAGGATCACATGACAGTGAATAGTCAAGTGATTCTAAGATGACATCGATTCAGGAGAAAAGCAAATCACGCTGGGGTACGTAAAGTTGAAATTATGCGTTTGGGTATAGGGACAATTTAATAGCTTTTCATTAAAAAAGGCCTCTGACGTGAACATAACCATCCATTCAGCGAAGAGACAATTAGCGAAGTAAGGGAAAGCATTGCGAGGGAACAGAAATCAGTACCGCATAGATTCTTGAAGCAGTCCAAACCGTGCGTATGCAGCAGATCATCCTGATTAGGATCATCCAGAATCAAATTCATTTGAAATCTTTACAAGCTGATAACTTGTAAAGATACCCCACTTGTGCGCGTCATCTCAGTGCTCTCGTTCACTGTGTTAGCTGTCTCTTCTCTTGTCTTAAATTGCCACCTTGTGGTAAATTTGTAACACTTCCCATCTCCAGAAATTTTGCAACCACTTCTTGGTGCTTTATTTGGAGGAATTTTATGATACACTGAAATTTTTTTACACTGATTATTTTTTTATTTCTTTTTACATTGTTAACTTCCGACGCATTAGCACATGATCTGAACTCTGTACACTGCAACACGCCTTGCTCTTTCTTCTGCGCTTCCCACCGGTTCCCGATTAATGAAGACCGCTGAATGCTGGCAGTTCGACCAGCTCTTGGCACAAACTCAAGCGAACGGCTGGTTTTATAATTGGTTTTCGTAATTTTCCTCATGTATAAAGTAAATAAAAGCCGGTTTCCCTCACAGAGTCCTCCACAAAAGCATCCCTTCTGTTGGGCAAACGAAATCGATCCTGTTTCAGAATTACTTAATCGCTCGCTTTTACTGGTCATTTCAGCGTGCAATTTTGTTTAGCAAAACTACTGTATTGTACAAACGTTATGTAACCAAAATAATTTTGTTCGTTTCAAAATTACATTGAATTTAAATACTGAAAGGACTTCTGGAATTCCCTGCATTATTTGGAAAAACCATTTTTCCCCGCATGAACCACATGGAAAGAAAAAATAAGAATAAAATTTTATTCGACGACATTGAATACATTCTTTTCAAGTACTACTATGCCCATTAAACTAGACACAT